AGACAGCTGGTTGCCAGCTGTGTAGCTCCTAAGAGTCATTGCTTGCCAAGTAGTTGGCAGAAGGTGGTGAAAGCTAACCACCTGTAATCCATTTTGACACTGCCTTTGACTATCACTTTGCAGAACTGGATATATTACAGAAATTCCAAAAGGAGTTGGCTAAATATGAAGGTAGGAAGTTGGCCATTTTGGCTTTAACTCAAAAAGGGTATGATGTAGGAAAAGAAAAAAGAAAATAACAAAAGCTTACAGGAATAATTTACAGGGCTAGGTCCTTAACCTTTCCTAGATACTATCCACCACATTTCTATCCATCATTACTTTAAATATGAGAAGTGTATAAATAGCTAAAACCAAAGTGGAAAGACTGTATCTCTATGTTCACTTATATCATTAGTATTTTTCACTTTTATGTCAGTATAATATATGCATATATTTAGCATATATAAAAATGTACATCATCAGTATGACATAAATATATGAATATATAAACTGAACAAATAACATGGAGATTTTACTTACTGTTTATGTTGTTTTTATACCTTCTGTACACAGTGTGGACACACATGTATGTATATATATGATATATAAATCATAAACAATTCTATAGCATAAGTATAGGTATAAACAAACTTGGGAAGATGCCACAGTTTAGGAAAAGCACTTCCTTTATTAAAAAAAAAAATCAATACAATTTCCCCACAGATTCATGATGTAAAATTCTATAATCAAGGCTTGTAGATTTGTAATTATGGTATGTCAGCTACATTTAAACAAGAGTGTTAAAAGATTGTTAAAGTTAAACTAACACAATTGCAGTGTGAATTGTCCTAGTCTCTTTCTAATCTACTGGTGTCACTTTCATTTAATCAGGGGGAAACTATGGGCCAAATTCAGTGCTATTTCCAATGCCCTAACATTCTTTATTCGCATTGAATTTTAAGCCAATACCAATCTAAAATGGTTACAAAAAGATATATTTAAGAAAGTATTTTTAATCAATTAATTCACTCACTAGTGGGCTAACTTAGCAGGATTTATTGAAAATAAGTTGCCTTTAAAGTGATTAAATAAACTTCTATGTTAAATGGATGAAAACATTTTGTTCTACAACTTGTAGAAGAATTTCTTAAATATATCATAACTCTGGCAAAAAAAAAACCTTACCAACACAAATCTTATTTGGAAACTTATTGTGGACAGGTTATTTGGTTGAAAGACCTTATGAACATTCAAAACATCAATCCCATATTTTCTACTTTAGTGAAAATTATTTTCCAAATCACTACTTAAATTAATACTGGGGGAAAAAACTACTCTGGCATGGGTTCATATTTACAGGATGCATTTAAATTTTAATTTACGTTAGGTACAACACTGAATTTACAGTTATACTATCAGCAAATAGTCTCCAAATAAAAGAGAAAACAGTGCTACATTAGCTAATTAGAAAAGAGGTGTGAATACTAATCATTCTGGTTTGCCTTGAACTTTCCCAGTTTCAGCAATGAAGGTTTCACATGCTCGAAAACCCTTTATCCCCAGGTAAACCAGGGTACTGACGCCACCTAAAAATTAAAGGGGAGGGGGGATTTTACAGTTCTGCACTGGAGAAGAAAATTAGAGTAATATTTTAATCTGGTAACCAGTTGCCAGATTAACTATGACCCAGTCACAGATATCAGCAGGCCCAGCAATCTTCCTGGAACAAGGATCCAAACAAATCTTTAAAACGAGCCTCCAGACCCAAACCTACCAACTAATACCCAGTAACAGTGAGTCACATGTGAACAAAGCTGCTGCTTGAAGAAATTGAGCATAACTACCCATCCAGCCTGTAGTGCACACATCTCTCTAGTTTCACAGCGACAACTGGTCCTGGAATGCAATCCTGTTGCTGGCAAGAGGATATTTAAGGAATCCTAGGAGTCAGAGGCTCAGGACAAAGTCAGATTCATTCCTGTCCAACTCTCACTTTATAAGCCGTTCCTAGTAATTGTATTCTTTCCTTGCTTCCAGAAATCCAGTCTCTCTTAAAATCCATTTTCAAAAATCAGATACTTTGCCTTTGTTACCATGCAAGGTAACAAAGTTTCTCCAAGACTAGGGCCTACAATAATGCACTTGACATTTATTTCTACTTCCACTTCCAACATGGCTGCCATTCACTAGATTGCCTTCACTATTTTGCCAACATGCTGAAACACTCATCTTCCAGGCATTGCTTGGGCTCCCTAATGCCAAACCACCATCTATTTATTGCCTGTTCCCATATTCCTATAACATCCCACCTGCCTGCCCAGATTTCCTCCTAAAACCCACTAAGGGGCACTTCTGGATCACCTGAAGGATTCTAGCAAATTTAATTAGACACTAAACTCTAAGAATGCACCCTCCCTAGTACAGACTACCCAAATACCTAGAATATATTTCTAGTGGCTCTCAATTCCAAGAGAAAACAAAGAATTTAGGGTTGTGAATGATGACTTTAAATCTCTTCTTCCGAATAAAAGTTGTGACTTCTGAAGAGAAATGCAACTATGGGAAATGAGCATTTGACAAGAAAAAAAAGGTGATGAGAACAGAAATTGGATTTTAGACCACTGCTTTAAGAAACCAATGAACAGAATCCTGTTCACAAAACCAAGAGCCCATCTGAATCATGAAACCAATTAAGAAGTCTTTGAAACTAAATTTGGAGAGAGGAGAAAATACATACCTTTAAAAACTTTTTATTGTGAAAAATTTTAAACATATAGAGACTATAATGAAGCCCCATGATCATTCAGTCCCAGCAATCATTAATATGTTGCTATATCTGCCTCATCTATTTTCTTCTTTGCCAAGGTAAAATGGAGAATTTTAAAAATAGGATGCTAAGGCAGAAGAGGGAAAGAGTTCAAATAAATTTCAGGAGAAAAATCCGAGAGAGAATGAGAGAAAGAGAAACATTATTTTCAGATTTAGATGGTTATCTACCAAAGCAAAATATGTGTAATAAACAGCTAAAATAGATCTTTTGGTGATTAAGAATAATCTCATCTTAAGTACATATGGGGAACTCTACACCAAAATGTCAACAGAAAAGCCATGAAAAAATGTATGATAGACATTTCCATTAATTTATAAATAATTTGAGATACAATAAATTGAGGGTTTCACAGAAATGACTAAATTTACTAAATTAAAATTTGATAATGTCCTATTATTGAAATAAGCTGAAAGTTAAACTTTATTTCCAAGCAGTTTCCATAGTTACTTGGGAGTTTTTGAAAGCCTAAAATACTGGCCTATTATCTAAATGAGTTTGTTTTCTCTAGAATATGTATTATAAGCCCATAACTACTTGAACTGAGTAACTTTATAAACTAGTATAGATCATTAGGATGAGAAATGACAAGGTCATGAAGGTAATTAATGGAAATCTACCATTAAAAATCATTTCTCATTATACCCAGGTACTTCTACTAAATAGACTTACTAAAATGAAATAACCAAAGTCTACCAAAGTGAACAGAGAACTCTGGGGTAACAGTGCAAATTATTTACATTTTCAATTACACATCTCAAACTGTAATTGAAAAAATTTATATGTCTCAATTCTCCTATTATCATACAGTTTCTAAATACTTTTTTAAAAAGTTGTACTTAAAATAGAAAGTTGTACATCAGAAACCTTGTTTTCCTTTGCTCTGCCACTAACTAGTACTGTCGCCTTAGACAAGTTTTGATTCTTCTATTTTAACGTCATTAAACCTCAGTTTCTCATCTGTAAAACGGGAAAACAAACAATATTATTAGTTAATATTTACTAGCCACTTGCTATTGGTCACATACTATGTTAAACAGTATGCAGATTATGCATAGCAGGCACTTCTTGCAACATCTGCAGGAAGGTGGGTACTTTCTCCATTTCTAAAAAAGGTGCCAAACAATTCAACAACACATAATAAATGGCAGAATTAAGGTTTGAACCCAAGCAGTCTCACTTCAGAAGAGGCTGTGCATTTAACTACTACTCACACCATTTTCCTTACTGCCTTCATAATACTGAAAGCTTCTAGGAAACCACGGTGCAATGCTGTGCTAAGCCTCTGGGGCAATACCTGAAAAAGTGAATTTATTCTTTTTCGCCTTGTCTTTCAAACAGTATGTTAAAAGGGGGACTAAAGCTGGGCAAAGATGAAAAAGCCAGCTGGCTAGAATGAGTCATTTCTACTGAAAAAATAACCTGTTTCTTCATAGGCCTGTTTAACTTTTCTCCTGGAACTCTTCAAAAAGTTTGACCTTGCGTCTAAAGTTCTAATAAGCACTGAAGTGTCTAACAGCAGTCAGGAATTAAGGGCCGATTACAGGGCCGGGCTCCGGAGGGCAGTTATTTAAACAGCATCCCACCACGTCTGGGGCGAGCGCCGGGAAGCAGAGTAGGGAGAGTTCGGCCACAGAAAGTTTGGCAAGAGTGCTGGAAGTTCACGCCCCAGTTCTCACGGACTGCGAGTCCCGCCTACCACGTTAGATCACACGGCAACAAGGTCTCATTTTTTTTTTATGAGGGCCGGGCTCTCGGCATCCCCCCAAAACTTCCACCGGGCTCCCGAGCCCCCCGAGGCCGCCTCCCTCTGGTTGGGTTGGCGGGGAGATCCGGGGCGCGCGCAGACAGCACGTACCACCAAAGCCCAACGCGGCCCGGCCTCCCAACCGGCCGCCGCCCCTCCAGCTCCCAAACTGCGGGCGCTGGAAGGCAGGGGCAGCCGCCGACCCTCGCTGCTCCACGACTGGCATTTCCAGCGCAGAGGTAACGGGAGGGGCGTGCCCTGGCCCGCGTGCGGCGGCACCGGGGCGTCCCGCGCCGTCCCTGCCTCGCCTCCACCGGCCGCGGAGCTCTAGGTGAGGCCTGGAGTCCCGCGCCAGCCTGGGGCCTGCGCTCCGCCTGGCCTCTCGGGCCGCCGAGAGGCGAGAGAGAGGAGGAGCTAGCGGCTGCGCTCTTCGCGGCTCCTTACCGCTTCACCACGCCGGTTTTGATCTTGATTTGCCTCACGCGAGGATCGGCCATGGTCCCACGAGCGCCGCGGAAAGGAGGGGCGGAGAGCCGGGGTAACCGTGCGACTAACGGCGGAGGAGGCGGTGTCGTCGGCGTAACAGCCAAGGCCTTGCACGCATGCGCACACCCTGGCGCGGTCCTGGCGCCCCTGCCACACCCGGGGGGCGGGAGGCCGGATCCCGGACTGCTTGATCTTCCTGCCCGTTGTCCCTGGCGGCCAGCTGGTTCTTTCCTCGCGGAACCTGTCACAGTCTCTCAGACAGCCCTCCTTTCAGTGCTTGAACAGTTGTCAATTTATTGTGAACTCAAGTTATACTTTTCCCGGCCGCCACAGCCTGAGCGTGTTGGGAAACTTTAGTTACCTTCCGGACAGACTGGTTGGGCGGTGACATTGCTTTGTGCGATTATCTGCTTAATGGACAGAGCGACCTAAAAATCGAATTAAAGATATTTTTTCGGCGTCATTATCTGGTGTCAAATGGGCCAAAGCGATGTATCTTTAATAAGCTGTCATCTTACACGCAGTCAAGAAAATCCCTACCTTCTACCTCAGACCACTGCCCCCCACCAAAATGTAGAGATGTACTCCACAAAGAAACGACTTAAGGACTTACTCAAATAAACACCTAGGGTGTATCTTAAATATTCTACTCATAAGAATGTAGCACATGAAAGCTTGGGCCTCGTGGTCAGATCAACTGGCACTCAGGGCTCCATCCTTTAATAGCTGGATGACATTGGACGGGTGAGCTGTTTAACCTCCCTGCTGAGCCTGTTGCCTTGTATGCAAAAGAGAAATAATAATGCCCAATTTATAGAGTAGATATGAACATTAAAGCTCATGCCTGACACACGATAGATGCTCCATAACTTTCAGTCATTGTTTTAAATTTTCAAAAAAAAACCGTGTCTCTTGCACAAAAGGGGTTGTGCCTCCACCTCAGCCCCTTTCCGATGAAGTTCTCCAAGGAAGCCAGGGCAGAGTCTCTTTGTTTTGTTTTTTCTTGGTATCATCCTTGAAAGCCATCTACCTGTCTTTTTCCCTTCCCTACACTTGCTGTACTTATTCTGGTTTTCATGCCTAACTTTGGAACACTCTCCACCCTGCCAGTCCAAGACCCTTATTTTAAATCAGGATCAAAATCCAACTCCTGGAGAAAATCTACCATGATGGACCACCCCTCTCCCCACTGCCTGATCAATGCTCCCAGGATGCTCTGGAATCACCCAATACTAATGTTCATTTGTGGTATATTTCTTTTAAAAACTATTGTTTGAGTCTGTCACAAGGGCATGCTCACTCTCCTAGTTGGATTATAAGCATCTTTAGAGGCAAGAATCTTGTATTCCATAAATCCTCCTCTCCCAATTTTCACCTATGTTCTGTACACAGCACGTGCTAAATTTGATAACTATTGTCATCCACCTGGCTGGCACACTGAAATACAATTTCAAGTGACATAGCAGAGCAATGAAATATTGGGGGACAGGGAGATGAGTGGAATCAAAACAAAACAAAAGCCCAGCATACTCACCAAAGCACAATGCTACAATTAGATATACAATAGCTCATTAATACAACGTTACTGGGCAGTCCCACAAGGCAAAGAAACAACAGCAGCTGAACCCACAAACCAAAAGATTGTGCAGCTAGGGCTCTTGTCACTGTCAAGGATGTTCTTCAGTCAGGCAACAAAAGCCATGTAACTCCCTGTATTCCTTCCTGCCTTGGTTTCCAGAACCCCAGAGCTCAGTTTTGGGCTGATTAGCAGGAGTTTCCCTCAGCCTAGGTTTTCTAATGTAAATAATGTCTATGTCCCCTAACCCCCAATTCTACTTCTACTCTTTTGCCCATTTTCTGTTTTAATGATTTTATATCTATGACTTTCCTGTAAAACACTAATAAATAAATGTAACACACTGACCAAAACAGCTGTGCTGTTGCTGCTGTGTCTTCAGGCCCATGACCAGGCTCTCAAGGACAGTGTCTATTTATGTCTGTGTGCATCACATTGGATGCTTGAGGTTATGGGTTAAGATCATGGAGTTTGGCCCCCACCCCTGAGGATGGGAGATTGGAGATCAGGAGTTTGCAGTAGGTGTAAAGAGCTTTCATTTGGAGGCCCAACTGTCTGGGGTCATATCCTAGCTCTGCTAGTTTACAGTTTACTAACTGTAAACTTGGACAAGTTACTAACCTCTTTATGTGCCAGTTTCTTCATCTGTGAAATATGGGTGGTAGTAATAAAAGTACCTACCTCATAAGGTTGTTATAAAGCTGAAATGAGTTCATATTTGAAAGCACTTAGCACAGCGCTGGTACTTATTAAGCCTCATACAAAGTGTTCATTAAATAAAAGTCATCTGGGAAGGTGAACCTAAGTAGGACATGAAGAACACAGTAGGACACGCATTCAAATGAATATAGAAAAGTACATGTTATAATTAATGAGATCATACTGAATTCATGTTTGACTGTTAACTCTACCTAACAAGGACCCATGTTGGACTTACTCACCACTGTATCCCAGCATGTAGCATTGCCTGGCCCATCATAGGTACTCAATAAATAGTTGTTGAATGAATGAATGAATGAATGCTGCTTTAAAACTCTTTTTTCCATTTAATAGTGTCACAGAAGCTTCCCATTTGAGCAAGAGGGCTATTAAAATAATCTGAAATTCCCCTCCGCCATCTTTCTCCAGGCCTTGCTCCTTGGAGTCTGAACTGTAAGGAGGTAGAACCAATGGAGTTACTTTTCATTACTAGAGGACTAATCATAGGAGTACTAACCATGAGAAAGTACTAACCATAGGAGAGATAGTACTGGCCTAGGGCATTTGAAATAGAAACTATGTAAGATGCATTTTTCACTGTTTGCCACCCATTTGTCCCCTTATCCCTACACCTTAACTGAGTTCTTAATAAATATTCCAGCCTGGGTCTTGGTCAATCTATAGGAATGAATGTGTAGGGAACTCTATAACAGATAAGCTAATCAACATTTGAGATTGAGGGTTGAAGTGATCCCCAGGACTGGGGGAAATCTGGCAGAACAAGAGGAACGTCCAGCTATCTCCTCCCCAAGTGGCAATTCTTCTCAAAATTAGTAATGGAGGGTTTAGGTACTACTTTATGAGAGAATACTGCATATTCCATTACAAATACAAGTTGTTTTTCCCACACACTTTTAGGGCTATGAACTAGGTCTCACCATCCCTTCATGCCATTCTTCACCCATTGACTGCAAGCTCCTCAAGATTAGAGACCACGGTATGTTCATCTTTGTCTCCTTGGCACCAAGCTTATGCCTAGGGCCCAGTGGATGCACAGTATGTATTTGCTGAGTTAAGGAAAAGTCAAATATAATACTGAGATAGATTTCTAATTTTGACAAAAACAAAAGACTGGTCATGCTTTTACTCTCTGGGATGGAACTAGAAGGTAGCCAGCATGCCATGAGACTTGCATGTTGTACCCCCATATGTTGCTCTAATGTGGTACTTCTGTTTTAATAAAACTAGATGGCCAATTGGAAAAGACAACCCTGGAAAGACTATTTAAATAAAGAAGTACTATTGATAAGAACATATTTTTTGAAATGTCTCTGGTAATTACCTCTAGGTGTTGGAAAGACTTGAAATATTTCCTTCATCATTAGGAAATACACCTCTTCTGAAGAGATTCAGAAGATCCCCTTCCTTCCCTGCCACTTCTATCTCTTTGCAAATTCTCTTGGCCTTCTCTTTTACTGGAGCCACTGCAGTAGACCCCCATCAAACTTGGGCTTTGACCAGCATTGCATGAGTGCCGCCTGGGCCATGAGCTCCACTGAGACAGGAGCCAGTCATGGGAAACTGCTCAGTACACACAAATGCACAACCCAGTAGCGTGAGAGAACAGGAGCCTGTGGATAAATGCTCCTCCCTTTCATTCTCCAGGCAGCAGGCAATTATGAGACACATTGCGTAAGGCTGGCTCTTCAGGTGGTCCCATGGAATCAAACATCAATCAATCACCTGTAGCAATGGTGAACTCAATAATCCACATTTGCATTTGCTTTTCTTCTTTCCCTGTCTCATTTATCCATTCCTCACTTCTGGCCTCCAGAATCACTTCCCAAATAAGTGGAATAGTAATACGTTGCATCTGGGAATAATGTTCTGACTCATTAATCAAGGGAAGGGAGTCAGAAGACTATTAGCTTTGAGTGGGGCACAGAGCAAGAATGGGCTCTGCATCAGGTCTAGGCTGCAGAGCAAGCTTCCCTGCCATTCAGGGCATCTGACCACATAGATCCAATGATGCTGATATACCTGGTGGACCCTAAGAGGAGAGTAGTATATAGGCCATGCCTATGGAGACAGAAGTCAATACTAACTTTTTCTTATCATAAGAATTTATCACTGTTTAAAATTTTCCCCATACTCTGTAAACTGTTAGTGGCATTTATGGTAGATACTATTAACTGGCTTACCCAACATTCATTCCCCAAACCCTCTTCCATACCCGCTTCCATTGGAGGGCTTACTTCCTCAACCTCCCTTGAAGCTGGAGGTGTCCAGGTGCACAAATTCTATCTATTCTTTATCTATTCTGGGCAAATAGATAAAGGTGGAAATATGTAGGTGGTTCCTGATAATGCTTTGAATTTCTTGATAAAAGGGACAAATACAGGGAACTGCCCCTTCCCACTTCTTCCATGAAAGTAGCTGGAATAAATGCAGTGAAAAATATCCATCTTTCATCCATGAGGGAAAGACAAACATTTCAGAGACACTAGTCTTGACATCACTTAACTGCTCAACTAAAACCAGCGGCTATTTATCTCTAGTCATCTTGTGTGGAAAACAAAACAAAACAAAATATATCCTTAGGTATTTAAGTTACTGTTTGTAAGATTTCTGTTATTAGCATCCCAAAGAGTTTTCTACACAACTCTATTAGAGCTTCATACGTACATCTCTTCATTGAGGAGAAGAGAAGATATAGCTGGTGGATCTCTAAAAGAAAGATGCCCATGAAAACAAAAATATCTCCAATTGTGGCTTTCATAGTATGCTGTGTTCTCATTGTGTGAGTGTATTAAACATACAACTTA